CCCAAAGCGAAAGGAGCTCGCGATATCTCACAGATTTTTGTAAATTTCGGAGGGCGTACCGTGAAAGGAGTGCGATGGTCGCCCACCGGCTTGGACGAGGGCTTGGTACGCATCTGCCTCTCTCTGCAGGGCTTCACGTCTTTCTGCCTCGGGATCGGGGGATGGAGTAGTTCCACAAACAGATTCATTCGGCCACGCAAACCCATCAAAGGAATCCTCATATTTGGCCAATCGCTTTTGAGGAACGAGTTGTTGGTCTTGCTGTTCTTTATCCGTGGCGACATGTAGAAGGCGCGCGCTGACTTGATCCAAGTCCACTGGATGCGATTTGACTGCTCCGTGCTCGCTACGTGCTCGTTCTCTACTTGCGATCAGACAGATTCCAAATGGAAGTGGGTGGAGCGCGAGAATGAAGCGGAGAAAATTACCTTAATCTCTGAATAAAAGACTCCGGCACATTCTCAAACTCGTCGACAGAGATACTCCTAGATTTGAGGTTAGACAGGCAATCGGGAACTGCGTTGCAAGAAAAACCAAACGCGAACCTTCTGTTCTGGAGGTACTCGTCCAGCTCCGCGTCGTCAAAGTCCAAGACGGTGCGACGGGATGGAGAAACGTATCGGCTTGGTGGTTGAGCGACGTCGCAAGTTCGCGGTTTCGGGGACTCAGGTCCCAGAGATGGCATCGCAGAGCTCTAGGAAAACGAATCTTTGTCAATACAAGTCCTTGAGTGCTCATGTGTTCATGAGGAAAATTGCTTCCATTTTGTCAAGTAAATATTCCTGCTTGGTAAGCTCTCAGGGTCCAACAAGACGAAACGTTGAAGAAAATGGCTTTCAGCGCACGGCATCAATGACCAACGGAGACACCTTCGGATTCATGCATCTGGTGGAAAATCGTTTGCTCGCGGTTTCAGGCATGGATGCCGCACCAACCGTGTATTTATACGCCCAATCAACATCTGTCCCGCAGCATGGGTGTGCATGGCTTTGTTCACAGCCCACTGAGCCGTGCAGGTGGTCTCTTCACCACCGATGGTATGAAACTCATAAAGGCTCCCAAGCCCCGCATGGGTCTCGGTCATGCGTTTATTTCGTTAAACAAAGCCGCTTTTTGATAATGGAACACCCGAACTTGATCGCCGTGTTGTATCCACATCAAAGCTCTCCTGGTGCCATTGCGGCAATTGTCGCCCCCGAGAACGCATCGCTACATGTTCCCTTCCATAAGGAGCCGGCATCAAGCCTCTGGAGCGAAGAGCCAACATGGGACCCTGAAGAGAGTAACAAGCCATCTTTAAACCAGATTGACCGTGAAGTATTGCAGTTGACATTCAACCATCGACCAAAAGGTAACGAGGGCTTTTGCCTTGGAAGAGATAAGAGCAAATGTGACATTTTTCTACCCCCTAAAATATAGCTACCCCATCAGCGCACGTCATTGTTACTTAACATTTGACAAGCAGAAGCCACGGAACCACCGTTCTCTATGACGGAAAAGGAGGAGAGAAGGAGGAGAGAAGCGCCGCAATTTCACGTGGATACTTGGTGGGCATTCGATTCCACTCATTGCACCAATTCCAAATTATTGTTTTCAAAGCCCGGGCGGATCCGTCCCAATACATTTCCAAGATTGAGAAATTCCGTATGGAGATAACTACATTACCTGAACCGTATATCGGCGGATTGGGTTTGTAAAGTCAAACTATAACAGTATCTGAAAACTCGGTTCTGGGGGCGTCGGAGTTGTAACTCGTCGCTGGGACGTGAGCACCGGTGTTGAATGTGCATGTAAAAAACCTCATGGTATTCTCAGCGAAGAAGTACGGCTGGCGTGGGGGAAAGAGATCCATATTATGAGTCGAGTCAAGCATGTAAACACCTGTATACCCTGATCTCCGACGAACCCCTTTTTGACACTTTAACAGAAGAATATTGTGAAGTTTTATCCTGAGATTGGTGGCCATGAACCTTGCTTGTATATGGACTATCTTCCATGCGGGAATCTTAAAATGCAGCATCGCAGCAAACCCTTTTCATACGAGGAGACGTTGGTAATCCTCCGCCAATGCCTATCAGCTTTGAAATATCTCCACGAAAGAAATCCTCCAATCGCACATCGCGATCTAAAACCGGAAAACATTCTTGTCCGCGAACGCAATCCTCTTCATATCCAGCTCGCGGACTTTGGTTTGGCAAAAGAAGGGACCTCTCTGAGGAGCCGTGTTGGGACAGAATGCTATGTCCCCCCTGAGTACTTCATGGCTGCTGAGCCGGGAGAAAAGTATAGCGTGAAAATCGATATTTGGTCACTTGGTGTCGTTGCTCTTGATCTCACGCACAGCCTGCCCACAGACGAGCTCAGTGGAATATCTTGGTGTGACAAAATCATTGATAGGGTCGACCAGTACAAGAGTGAAGGTCCAATGCAGTTCTTAAAGACCCACATGTTGGTCCTCAAACCAGAAGATCGATCGTCAGCAGACATCTGCTTGAAGGCGGTCGAACAGCTCCGTGCTCCCTCCCGAAATGGGTGTAGAACACCGACTCAAGCTTCGTTCGCCGAGGAAATTCTCAGCAGAGAACGGCCATCCTCTCTATATAACGTGAGTTTCTCTGCAACTAACTTAGAAGCCAACGAAAACTAAATGACTTTCTTCCGTAGGCGATATCAGGCTTCTCCTCCGATAGGATCAATGCCTACATCAGTACCAACATTCATATTCCAGAATCGCGAAAGAGATCAGCCCAGACACGGTCATCGTCGGGTACGTATCCCACCAGGCCGTCCAAACGTCCTGTACAGAAGGCGAGTCACAACAATCATGCAGAGCAAAAGGATTCTGAGTTCATTCTTTTCCATCGCGAATGGTTGCAAGATTCCAAATGCGTTGGATCTGAAGTTGCTGAGCTGGGCCGAGAAGACCCGCCCGGCTGGAACAGTACCAGCGATGGTAACTCGACGATCAAGAACATCTCCGAGAACCGAAGTACGCGGCCAAATATGGGTGAACAGTTCAATGACCCTGAACGCCCGTGCTCAGAGAGCGAAAAGGAACTCGCGCGTTTACTACAAAAAGATAAAAATTAATACTCGAAGCCATGCGTTCCTGGAATATTGAATTTGAATGTTGATTCTTGTGCCCGCAACATTTTACTTTGATGGAGAGGACTAATATTCCACTCACTCTATTACAACTCCTCTTTGAATTTGTCGAAGGAAGAAGGTATGGGGATATCTTTTGGGATCTCGGGAATGACTAACTGGTTGACATTAATTCATTTAAATAAGATTGGGGTTCTCCGTACATCTTCCTGCATGCAAGATGTTAGGCAGACTCTCTTCATATGAGGATTCCATAACGGTGTGCAAACTTGGGATGCTGGCAGTCCGAGATGACTATGGTTCTTTTTTATATTTCTTCCCATTTAAGGTACTGGGTGATTGAAGCACGATATATATAGAAAGATGTATATGTAAACGCATATGTATATTTCATATATTTTTGCGGGAGTGGGTTGACAGCAAGCATCATTGCATTCTGTAGTAGCAACTCAGCTCACTACTCTCAGTAACTGTTAAACTAGGTTTTCAAAATTTCAGCACCGTCAAAAAT